AAATCTAGGCTATGCATGCCCCCCCCCAACAAAACTTAAGTTTGCTTCAATATTTAAGTTTCTTAACATGTCTTTCTGATTATCTTGATTAAGATAGTATATAGGAAAACATTGTAGATCCAAGAGTGTTAATTTTAATCTTTTAAAATCATTGTTTTTATCCCCTTTTAAAATTTTTCCCTATAGTTAAGATAAATTTATCTAATTGATGACATTTTTTTTTCCTTTTCAAAGCCTTACTTTGTTTAGATGAGTGCCTTTGATGGCAGTCTATATTCTTAAAAATATCATTAACCATAAACACATCAGAGCACCTAGCACTTCGAATCATTTGGTCAAAAGAACAACCTTAGCTCCTATAAGGTTGGGTTGTGCGTAAACTGGCGCCCCTCCATTATCATCCATTCAACACCCTACAGCTCATTTGATGGAAAGTAGGTCGACATACCCCCATACTATGCCTCTGCGAAGTTCTTGTATCAAAGTAACAAACAACAATAAGCACCTTTTGTCCCACTACGTGGGGTCTCTCATATATTATCTTTTTCTCATTGTTCGTTAAAGGCAATTTCTCATTTAAATCTAATAAAGAAAGATCATTTTTATATTTCCTAACAATTCTTTTTATGTCTATCTCTACTTTCTTAACATAAGTTAAATCTAAATGCATCTACTTTCCTAATCGGGTCATCGGAAAGCCGCTTTTATGTGACCAAACCATCTAAGGCAACTCTCTCTAATCTTATCTTTTCCATTGGAGCTACTTCCAAACCTTTTCACGTATATGCCTCATTTCGATCATATCTCTAAGGTAAAGCCACTCATCACCTAGCATCCTCATCTCTGCAAAACACTAACTTATATTTATGCTTCTCTTTTAATTGGTCACAATTTGGCACCATAAAAGATTCAGGTCTCACCACCCTCTTTATAGATTTTTTTCCTAAGTTTGAGGGGACTTCTCTATCACACAAATAAGCCCAGTGATTCCTACACTTTAACATCCCAACTTGAATTCTTGCTGAGAATTATCCCTATCTATGTAACCATCACTGCTGAATTAATAGTCCAAGATAATCTAAACATATACTCTTTATTAATGGCTTGATCACCCAAAATCACAATGCCCTCCATTAGGCCTATTACTACTAAAATTACACTCTATATATTTTGTTTTTAGATGCACTTTCAAGCAAAAACCTTTAGGCTCTAAGGTTGAACATTCTAATTCAAGTTTACCTTCAACTCCCTCTCTAGTTCTTATCATAAGGAAGAATATCATCAGCCAAAAAGCCATACATCAAGGTACATCCTCTTGCGAAATGTCTAGTGAGAAACACATGACTTAAAGCAAAAAGATATGGGCTTAAGCCTGATCCTTTGATGTAATCCAACCAAAATAGGAAAATAACTTGGTTAAAACTTTGTGTTTGACACAATATAGCTCTTCCATACATATCTTTAATGATTTAAATATAAAGCGTTATGAACTCCTCCCCTTTCAAGAACTCCTCCATAGCACTTCTCTTGGAACTTATCAATGCTTTTCCTTTAAATATTATTTAAATATTCATATGTAGATCCTCATTATCTCTCTATAATTCTCCATCAACCCTCTCCCAAATAAATGTATTGGCTTTCCATAGTAGACCTACCCAGCATGAATCCAAATTGATTTTGAAATATTAATATCATGCTGCAACCTTTTGCTGCCATAACTCGCTCCCAATAGTTTTAAAGGTATGACACATTAACTTAATTGCCTCTAAATTTCCGCACAATCTTGTGCATCACCTTTATTCTTAAAAATATGAATTAACACACTTAATTCTCCATCATTTGACATCTTTTTTAGTCTTCAAACAATATTAAAAAAAGTTTAGCAAGCCAATAAATTCCATATCTCCTTAGCATTTCCACACCTCTTTTGAATATCATTAGGTCCAACAGTTTTTTCACCCTTCATTTTCCTTAAAAACCTCTTAACTCGGTTTTACTAATACTCGATAAAAAATTAAATTTTTATTTTCATTTAATGTGCTAAGGTGACTTAAAGTAATCGTTATTTTCACATTTCATTAAAAAGTTTAGTAAAAAATATCTTCATCCATCTTGTTGAATGTCATCTTTTAAGAAAAAGTATTTTTTGATTTTCCATACTTAAATAACACTTCACTTGAACTAAATCCTTACTACATCTTTTTTTTGGCTTACTTTATATGTATATCTTTCTCCTTCCTAATATCTAATTTATTATATAAATAATTAAAAGCTAAATCTTTGCATCCACATATTGCTTTCTTAGATTCCTTACATGCATATTTCTTTTAGCAGTGCTCCTATGTAGTTGTACTTATATACTTCTTATTTTTGTATTTACAACTGCTTACTAAGCTTTTTGATCAATAGAAAGTGATTTTCCCAAGCGCAATGACTTCAATGCTAGCTTGAAGACATGAAAACAAACTGGAAAATCTTAATTCTGTTTGGGAGGCCCATGATCCCATTCATATTTCATGTGCATTATATTTTTATGTAACAAATTTCTAAAAAAGCAAATTTCCCTTAATCTTTAAAAATTCCCATGATATTTTTATACGTTGATACTTTCCTGTTTAAATTCTGTTATTCATATTCACTTTTCTTCTGTGTCTAATGGGCCATAAAATTGAGCTTCTGATAATTTTTTAATTGGGACCAACACATGGTTACATATCATAATTTTAGATTAAGGAATTCCACCCACATTAAAGCTTGTGAAAAAACCAGAGGCAATTTTCATTCAATCAGGATAATCATGCAATGAAACCAGAAATTTTTTCTAGAAGGGTCCAAAACCCAATTATCCTATTATCTTAGCTTTTAAATGTTTCCAATCGAAACTAGAAACCTCCAGAATTATATCCTAATCTGAGGGATGAATTTTTTTTTCCTTCTTTGTTACTTGTTTAATGCCTTCTTTAAGTTTGGTGATGGATTCTCTTTTATAGGTTGTTTCTTAGTGGATGTCTTCTCTTTATTTGAAATAGACGATGGTGGAGCCAAATGATTGTGGCCACCTTTAGCGTAAGAGCTCCCAATGACATCCATTATTGTAGTCATGAAAGGCTACCATGGAATTTATTCCAAAGGCCAGTTTGATTGTGCCTTGGAGAGGTTATAGAGACAGGAGGCTCTGGTAATAGCCTAGACCCCAATATTGGGGAGGAATTTACATGTGGAATTTGGAGGAGAGAAGATTTTCAAACTTTATCCAAATATAATTCTATATTTGAGGTTACATAAAGGCCTATTTGCTGCCTTATGACATTAGATGTTGATTAAATATCAATTAAAATTTATCTCAATGCTTAAAAATAATGAATTAAGATAACCGGAGCTTAAATCAAAGGAATGTTTCCCTCATATTTTCTCCCAGGGGTGGGTTAACCCTAAGGAAAGGTGAAGAATTTATAGGAATGAAATTTTGTTGTTTCCTTTGATTCTCTCCAAATTATTTTTGAATTAATTTACAACTTTTGCAATGTTGTCTATTTAATTCATATTCGCAAATTGAATCTATGATTAAATTCTAAATTTTTTGGGATGACTTCAGATAAAAATAGGGGAATTCATGCGTAGCCAATGATTAGCATATGTTATGTTAAAACAGTATGTTTGAGAGGGAAAAGCTTAGCTTATTATGTAATATCTTCCCTATTTATAGATCTATACAGATATCTTAATGAGAAACAACAAATTACAAATTTAATACATAAAATTTCCTATTCATTTTTTTCCTAAATTATTCCTTCGTTTATGGCATTGATCCCCAATGCAGAGCCTCCCCATGAATTGCTTTCTGTGACCGTTGGATCCTTTGCATTGGAAACGGCTGATTTCAACTGTTAAGTACAACATTACTTTATTGTTAAGCATATCTTCAAACTAGTAATCCAGTTTGTCAATGGCACGGCTGATGAATCCCCATTGAAAATATTTGTATCAAAACCATTTTTATGTGAGATTTTTAATTTTGGATGCTCGACAAATTACTGCGGACATTTTTAAATTTCTGTCCATTCAGAGCCAAAAACACAAAAATTTAACGCCTATAAATAACTTTCAAACTTTGTTACAAGCTCTTACTCATTCAATTTTCTGATTTCCTTATATAGGACTTGCAGGGCTTAGTCAAGCTGTTGACTGTATTCCCTTCAATCTGGCCCTGGATTGTTGTTAGAGATGCTCGGGTGGAGGATTGCTGGTAAGTGGCTGATACACACTGTAAGCTCCTTTTTCCAAATTATACCTTTCCCATAGTCTGGTCCTACGGATTGTCAGATTCAAGCTCTGCTTTCTGCTTTCTTCCAGTACCTCCGAAGGTTCCAGGAGGACATGTCTTGGCTGTTACCTGGTGCTTCCTGGAACTGATAATTTATACATTGGAGTTAAAAGACTTCAAATTGGTGGATTGATGGGAAAATTTAAATCTCAGCATGGAATCTGTAGCTGGTATTCTCACTGTAGATACTCTGGGCTGATTACCTTCCTAGGAAAAGGTCCGCTTAGGCCAAAAAAGGTCAGGTCATTTGTTGCTGCTTCAGCTAGTTTTTTGAATCTATGGGGCTTTCTTATATTTAATATAATTTCTATAAATGACAATTCGAGTGCTGTAAGTTGCTGTTTTAAAACTATCCAATCTGCACGTAAATTACCCATGAATTATATAAGCAAAGCAAGAACCTTGAAAAATGTCTAGTATAATTAATTTTCAACGTTAAACTCTTGAAGTATACAGAGACACTCATGCCGTAGTAGCTCTTGTAAGACCAGAATCATATAACTGATATAATATTTGGAAAGCCCCACCTATAATTTGGATTATACAACGCAAAGATATATATATAATCTAGTAATAGGTAGCAATACTGACATGAAATTGCACACATAATCAAAGAAAATAAAATTAATGACCTAATGCAGAGAAAAGTTCATGCAAATTTTTCAGTAAATATAGGATAAAGAGAGAACAATTAGTACGGAAAAACTCCTAAAATATGGATATACTTGAATATAATATCTTATTCATAATATAAATATTTTTTAGATATAAGTGTATGACGAGAGTAAGTTACTAAATTATACCCAAGAAAATCAGGCAATAAGGCTTCGATTAAAACACATGGGAAATCAGACACCATTTCAATTATACTAAAGCAGCTTTCTAAGTAAACAAAATCATATTAATTTACAAATGTACTAGGAAAGCTTTGGCTTTAAGAAAACAGTAAGAAAGTCCAGTCCCAAACGAACGCCATATTCCTATATGATTATATAATCCATTACTAAAATAATAAGGCTACTTCTGCGGACAGCTTTTTAGCTACATTTCTTAAACAGTTTGTTTAGTAGAAAAAATTTCTTGTAATTAGAAAGACGTATTTAATACAAAGCAGAGTATAACGAAAGACTGATATCAAATGATGCCAAACTAAAGGCAGATCAACCTTGCTTTGAACAATTCTCTAGCAAAGAAATGGAACTATAGACCATACATATCAAAATAGACTAGAAGAAACGCAGATAGAGAAAGGAATTGCCTAAGGCTATATTGATAGCAAAGGAGAAGCCAGAAGCCCTTAGCTGGGGCTGCCCGCTCCCATATAGCTTTGCCATGCGATGTAAAACGCTAGCTGCAACCAGATTATACAAAAGCCAGGATATCAAGTACATCGCATATACAATAACATATCAAAGAAATGGCCACAGCCAAAGACACGCACCCAAATCTACCAGTTTTAAATGTTCAAATGAGAAAGCTACCTCACATCAAGAGAGAATATTAGATCTTTATGTAGTTATGTCAATGTTGTAATTTATTTGAAGCCTTATAGCGAGGTAGATGAATCATATGTCAAAATGTTTAGAGATTGATGGAAGAAACTTGAGAGACTAATTAAGGGAGTGAATATATTGGTGAGAATCCTTATGTGCCTGGATGCACCAATATTACGATAATGGTTATAATAAACAAGATCTAAAAATATTATGTCAATTTTCAAAACAATCTTAATAACATTTATAGTAATTTTTTTAATTATTAGTTCGAACGATAATATTAATATTTTTTTCGGTTTTCTTAATAAGCGAATATAAAAACGAGCTAATATAATCAGAGTTATACCAAACTATTGTCAGAGAACATACATAGAGTTCGCTAACATAGAGTAAACTAACGTCAATAAAGCTTATCAGATAAAGGATACAGAGCGAACATAGAAACAATAGGAGGTGTCAATACAATGATCTTACTCGAACTCGAAACCGAAAAATTTGGTTATTAGTTTTCCCCGTTTAAAAACGGGGTTCCAGGTTTAGTTAACTCTCGATTTTGACTTGAATTGATACGTTATTAATATTTATGGTATATTTTTAATTTTTTATAAATATCTACAATATATGATTAGTAAGACATAAAAAAAGAATTTCTTTTATTAAGATAGAAATTATTTGGTCAGGTTGAGTTGCTAACGCGTACTGACTTCTGGATTATATATTTTTTTATAAAATGGGATTTGAGTTATAGGTATAATTTGATACAGGTCAGAATACAATATATTAGGAAACTGACACAGAGAGAATAATAATCACTTTGAACTCATTATTGACACTACTATCGGAACAACTGAATAACAAGATCAAGAAGATTTATATAGTTGAGAAGTTACAACCACTTGCGAAAAAGTTCTAGGACAAGATTGAGAAGAATAAAATAATTTGAAGAGAATAAAATTTAAGACATTATGATGACAAAAAGAAAGAGCAATAAGATAAGTATTTAGAGAAGAAGGCTTAATTGCAAAATTGCACAATTCAAATTCAAATGATTAGCATATATGAGCACACACTGATAGCATACTTAAGGAGGCCCAAGAATTCTTTTTGTACAAAACTATTAGAATATAATAAAAAAATAAGAACCTGAAGAATAAAGAAATCACATAACACTTAAATCATAGAGATTATTGAGTTCACAACATTACAACAATAGAAAAACACTTGTCTAATTCATAATACTCACTAACACTCATAAAGGATGAAAAATGAGATAATTCAGAGAGCAGGTGCAATACTTTAATATATATCTAATTTTTTTTTAAAACATATCTTCAAAATATAGAAATAATAAAATTAATATATAAATATCAATCCAAAAGCATTTAGGATATAAACACATATTTAAAATATAATTTAATTAAAATAATTATATAATTATTAAATTTATTTTAAACTAAAATAAATACAATTAATTAATCAAAATTTTTGTCACACATATCTCAAAATAAATTTAATGATTATAAAACTCATATTATTTAATTTTAATTAGAATATTTTGATGCAAACTTTTCTCATGCATACACTATTTATGCATTTGAGTGTAAGAGAAAAAAATCATTCTAAGACTTTTAAGGAGATATAACTTTTTTATTGTTTTTTAAATCAATTTTTTAGTATAAAAATTTAATTAAATTTTTATAATAAAAAATTATTTTAAGAAGCAGCAAGAAAATCGACGAAGCCTAATTCAGTATTCTCAATATCAGAGCATGGGACCAAATGACCAATCTATATGAAGCATGCACAAACAATCAAAAATGGGCCAAACCCAAATGAAAATTTACCTCATTTGTATTAAGAGAAAACAGCTTTATTAACAATCAAATTTAATAGACTGTGATAGTTATAACAAAATATTTATAATATCCACATAAAATTTCAAAAACTCTATTTTTTATCATAATAATTTTACAATTACTGCATCAATCCCAAAGAAACCTTAGCCTTCAATTTGATTCTTCAATTTATCAAAAAACGGACTATTTTGATCTCTCAACTTGACTTGGCTGATAATTTGGAGAAATTATTCTATGCGATATGGACACCGTTCGGAGGCGAATCAAAATGCACCACATCACTTTTTTATTGTGTATCACGACTGTATACGAATGACGTGACACGTTCTGATTTGCATACGGACGGTCTCTTGTCCGCATAGAATAATTTCTCGATAATTTGTGAGAGCAAATTGAAGGAAAAAAAAGGGGTCAAATGAACATAAGCTAAACAATCTAAAGAACCAACTTAATGATTTCCTCATTATATTGATATGTACTTCACTGAATTCTGACTGTAATTGGCTCATTGGAGTCAAATTGATGAGTTATTACAATTACAGTGTTCCTTAGTGCTCATCAGTAACTTCACTTTCTTCTTCAAACTCTCATTTTCCTGAAAAAAATAAAGAAATTTTCAGCCATTAAAAGCACATTGAAGTACAGAAGAAACAGAAGTCAGTAGCTACCTTTCGCAGTGCTATAAGCCTCTCATTGGTTCCTGCTTGAGCAGCCTTAACCTGTTAAAAACACATATAGTGAAAGCTTTAGATTATTATGAAGATTAAATATAACTGTTAGGGCTATTAAGTGTAGTAGATCTTTAGATTGAGCTAATGGGCCTTAGGCTTTGTTTGGGACAACATTTTTATTGTTTTCTAAAGCAGTTTTTTAGTACAAAAATTTAAAGTTAAAAAAAAATTGTTCTAAGAAATTGCTTTATAAAACAGTAAAAAAGCTGTTCCAAATGAAACCTTAGACATGAAAGCGGTATATAAGTAAATATAAAAATTTAGGTGTTAGATATATAAATATATAAGAACTTTATGACATGTATGTAAAAACTCCAAAACAATAAAATTAATAATCACTTGTAAGAAGAAAAAATATAGATACCTTCACCAATTCATCCTCAAATTTTCTGCTCTTATCAAACTCTGCATCATATTTCATTCTCCATGCAGCTGATTCGTCCATGGCTTCCATATTGGCACGGTCAAACTGTCTTCTGCTATGAACAGCAGAAACATGTTAAGTCTGTAGCTTTGAAAGTCTTAGGGTTCTTTTGGGACAGCTTTTTTACTGCTTCTTAAATTAGCTTTTTAGTACAAAAATAAAAAAAATTATAGTAGAAAACTGCTTTAAGAAGCAGTAAGAAAGCTGTTCAAAACGAAGCCTTAAACTTCACAAAAGAATGCTGAAAATCACATGAAATTCAGATTAATCCCCTCAAGCCTTGATAAATCCTGTTAAAACTACAGCACTAGTTTATAAGAATTAAGCATCTTTCATGTACAGGGCGCAGATTTCACTGAAGCTGGAAGAAGAAAAGCAGTTCATTTTCATATATTGTAATTTATTTCCTGCAAACCAAAAAGTATTTTTACATGTTAAAGCTATCACCCATTATCCTGAGGCATCAATTATTGGTACAAGCAGAAATACACATAGTTGGGGGAAGAGAAAGGCATTAATGTCTTGATGGCAGATGTCAAACGCACAAACAGATTGCTCTAAGATTTTGATGAGAGTAATTCCTCAATTTGTACAAGTTGTGGAAATTAGATCTAAATCATGTATAAAGATCATTCATTGCTATTGGAATGAGAAGGAGAACAAAATAAAATGAGAGATAATATGATTGAATTTTATTTCTTTATTATGTGTAAAAAAATGCATATATGTGAAAAGGTTGGAATGGCTCCAGTGGTAGATAAGATTAGAGAGAGTCGCCTTAGATGGTTTGGTCACATAAAACGACGGCCTTCTGATGAACTGGTTAGGAAAGTAGAGGTATTAGATTTGACTTATATTAAAGAAGTGTAGAGGTAGACCTAACAAGACTTGGTTAGAAAATATTAGAAAAAATCTTTCTTTATTAGATTTAAACGAGAATTTGACTTTTCATAGGACAATAGAGAAAAATGATTTATGTAGCTGACCCCACGTAGCGGGACAAAGGCTTGATGTTGTTGGTGTTGTAATGCAGGAAAATATGTGATCATTTATTCATCCAGAACTGTGAAATTAAACAGATTTGGGATACAATGCTTACATTATTTCAAAGGAAGTTTTCCAAACCAAAATGCTGACCACTTGAATTGTTCGTTTCATCTTGGAGATTTGATTAGAAGAGGTCACCACAGAACTTTGGTCCCCTCATTTGCTCTTTGGTTCAGTCGGCACGAGTGAAATAAGGTGAAACATAGAAAAACTTCAATGCTTATAGAATATATGGAAGGTGTATCTCTACTAGAAGCCTTAAAGGAGGCTTCGTTGATATATTTTATACTGCAAAGATGATGAAGAGAGAGCAAGAAAGATAAAGATGGTATCTTGGACAAAACTGAGTTTAGTTTTATTAAGTTGAATGAAGATGAATGCTCCAAGGGAAATCCTAGAGAATCTGCTGCCGGAGTTATTCTGCCAGATTATTATGGTGATATGAAGTTTCCATTTTTTCAATATCTGGGCATTCAGTGAGTGATGTTTGCTAAAATGGTGGCATTAGATATTGGCTTAGTGATACGCATTGATAAGAGATTCAGATATGTTGCAACTGAGGTACATTATCAATTTATTACAGAACTACTTAGTAGTGAAAGAGGTTATAATTGGAAGAAAATTTATTTGCTAAGGTACATTAGACAATTATTTTCTAAGTTGAATGATAGAGTTAAACACATCTATAGAGAAGAAAATCAAGCTCCTGATTACTTGGCCAAAGAAGGCTGCAAACTAAAGTTAAACAGGTATTTTAATATATATGATATACATGGTAAAATTAAACGTATTATTCAATAAGATAAGAAATGAGTTTCTTATCTTAGTTGCAGTATACTTTGTTGTTTTCTTTATGCTGCTAAAAGGAGCCATCCTCCAAATTTTTGTTCTTGGCTAGAGCTAGATTTCTAGATTTTAATGATGGATGTCCACATGAAATTCGGGATGGGATCGATGTTAGTCGTTGCCTAGAGGCGCCTTTATTGGGACAGAACGAAATGTGTTTGAATTTTGTTCTGTTGGAACCATGATTGAAGTTTCTGCAAAGCCCAATATATTCGTAGGCGATATATTTAAGCTGATTATTCCGATAACCTGTCTCATAACAGTTTAAGACGATATTTTTCACTTCATTTTATTTATAGTTGACAATATATATGCTCAGTAATACTACTTCAATTGGTGATTTGAGCTAAGTTTCTTCACTTGGGTGATATAAGAAATTTGGCCAATCCTTGATATAAATCTTAGTGAATAGAATGAATCAATATTGCAGATGAGTGCCTTAGTCTTGACTTTCTTTTTGCTCAAATGATAATTATTAATCATTATTGTAGATATAAATGAAGATTAGTTTTGAGCTAAGAGCTCCAACAAGTATTTATTGTTACTATCAATGTGGTTTATGAAAGGTCTTAACAACTATCATGTGAAGTGTTAGAGATCTTTGATAGGGGTTCCTCCAAGGTTTTATTTTGCAAGCTTATGGTTTTATTTTAAAACTTGGATTAATGGAGCTTCATGGTTGGATCTCCTTCTACCATTGTTTAAAATTGCACTATTCATTATTTTAATTCCATTGAACTTCAAACATTAATGAAAATCAGAAGTTGAGTATTTATCACCCCAATTCATACTCTCTTGATGTGCCATGAACTGTACAATCTACATCTCCTTTTCTTTCCTCAGATACTTTATAAATCAATAAAAAGGAAAATAAAAAGAAAACTCAAAGCACCGGAGATGTTAATTCATAACCAGCTGTTCAAAAAACACAACTAGGAAGATCTGTCCGCAAGGTCCTGTTAGGGTTTGGCGGTGAAGTGCGTACATGCATAATTCATAAAGTTTTACAAACAGATTATAAAATTCATTTATAGAGATCAACAAAGCAGAATGTCAGAACCATAAAAACACATAAAAGTAAAGCAATTGTATCAAAGTTAGGGATTTGATGGCAAGAACAAACCGAAGATGAAGTAAATCAGTTTAATGTTTGACGCGAACCTTAGTTCTTCTCTGTCGTCTACAGTAAACGATGAATCGATGGACCATAGCCGGAAGTATATGACGGTTCCCAATAAAAGAGCGGCGACAAACCCCAGAATTAGGGTTCTTCGGCGAAACATCGTCGCGTTGGATCGTCTGCCCATGAACGGATCGGATACAAACACTATCTGATAGGCATCTGGAAGAAAGGGGAAGATTTTTAACATATTTACCGGTCCTTTTAAAGGAACAAAAATGGACTATCAGATAGTGTTTGTACAGTATTTACCGTTTGGTAATCCAAATTATGTAATGAAAATAATTTAATTTTTTAAAAATATTAATTATATAAATTATAAAATTTATATTATTAAAATAATAATTTATAGAAACCGGATTTTTAAAATCAGGTTTCCAGTTTCTATAAAACCGGATTTTCGAGGTCCTGTTTCGCTCCTTTTTAAATTTTTTCTGCTCTATGATTCTTATGAGTATTTAGGTATTACATTTGCTCGTTTTTATAAATTGGCCTATCAAAATAAGGGTTATTTCGTACGTGTAAACGAATAAAATCTACTTGAAATATTTAAAATTATTTAAAAAAGTGTAAAAAATATAATAATATAATATACATTTTTTGCTGAAATAAAATCAATATAATGTGAATTAAATGATGGTGATGGCTAGTGGTAGTGACAAACATGGTAGCCAATGACAAGCAACTGTGGTCACTTGTTGGTTCGACAATGGTTATAATAGTGATCATTGAAAAAATTTTCTATGTGGGCGCCAGACGACGTCCGCAGACCAATCAGAATGCGCCACATCACTTTTTTGCTTGGTACCACTCAATAACATGGAACGTTCTGATTGGTCTCCGAACCGTCCGGTGTCTGCAAAGAATAATTTCTCGTGGTCAACACCGATTTGCAGTAGTAGCCGATGGTCAAATTGTGGCGATGGTTAAATTGTGGCGGTTTGCAATGATCGACTTTCGGCTAGCGAGTCAACATGGGTGAATGACAATGACAATGCAGTTGGCTTATGGTGAAAAAGAATTCGGGTCAAAACTAAGTTAGTGTATAATATATTAAAGCATTGCCTTCCTTTTTCAGAAAAATAAAAAGAATTCTACACATTAACCTATTTATTACATATGGTATAATTTTTTAGATCAACACAACTCAATTAATTCAAATATAATCCATTCAGCTCAATTAACCTGATCGGAATATGCCTAACTTGAACCTAAATAATGCTAAGACTATTCTGATAAATTTTAGATTAAAATATATTTAAAAATTAGATGAGTGCAATATAAAATTATTAGATATAATATTTAACTTTACAAAATAAGTAATTTTGTAATTCATAAAAATATTTGACGCAATTTTTTTCAATTATAAAGGATTAAATTCAGTAAAATTCAACCAATTCTCTTAAATCAAATTTGCTTCATAAATTCAATCATTTATTTGACTTTAGCCTATTTCAAATATAATAACAAAAAAAAAAAGATAAAATTTGCATAATAATATTTTGAGGGGCTTTTTTATAAATTTGGATCTTATACATTTAGTATTTAATATACCTTCATAAATTTTAAAATCATTTGGATGAAATATATCAACTATGTATTCCTAATCATCCAACATGAACTTCTGTTCTATTTGCCTTTACCAATAACCATACAAACAAGATAAAAAAAAAAAAAATACAAACAAGATGCTAACTTACACCTTAATATCATATTCTATAACTAATATTTCTATTTAGAAATATAGAAAAATCATTAATTTTTAAAAATGATTATCTTAATTATCACAATTAGTAAAAAGAGCTGGTTTATTTATAAATTTAAGAATGAGCCAATTCGCCAATTATTTTGGCGTATTGTAGACAGAGAGAGAGAGAGAAATGGAAGTTCACGTGGAGAGAGAGATATAGAGTTGTGGTGGAGTTTTTATTTGGTTCGGTTGACCGGATGCAAGAAGCATCCTGTCGTAGGCAATAAAAATGCGGTACCGAGGTGTACCGAGTTTTTCAAAAATTATAACAAAATTTTAAGTTTTTATACTAAAATTTATAACTTAAAATTACAACGTAATTAAACTAAATTAAGATTTTTATATGTTTAATCAAAAAAATTTTAGTAAAAAAAGATTAACATATAAATCATTATTTGTTAATTAAAAATAATATATAAAATTTATAGAGGAAAGAGACAGCAGCATAAAGCATTATTCTCTCTTTCTGACATTTTTCTCTCTATTATCTCTCTCCACAACTCCATATTTCTCTCTCTCTCCACGTGAACTTTCATTTCTTTGTCTACAATAAGCCAAAATAATTGATGAATTAGTTCATTCTTAAATTTTTAATAAACATGCTCTTTTTACTAATTATGATAATTAAGATACTCCTTTTTAAAAATTATCCTTTTTCATATAAAAAATTTTATAGTAACTCTCGCAATGTAACTTTTTTTTTAATGTAACATTTTTTTCTTTTCATTAACAGAAATAAAATTAGGTCAAAAAAATATCCATCCAAAATGATACGATGAATCAGAATTTCTCAATATGGAGAGATTATTCCGTGCAGAATACAGACCGTAGCTGCGTCCAAATTCTATGAATGTGCATAATAAAAGCACAACAAAAGCATAATATGCATAATAATTACGTTTTTACTGCGCACACTCACAGAATCTAAAAGCAGCTCCGATCCGAACTCCACATGTTACAATCTCCTCAATTTGACGAGAAATTATTGGGTTCGGACACCGGATGCTGTCCAAAGCCAATGAAAATGTGCCACATCACTCTCTACTCAGTACTGAACTCTCTTCTGAGCAGTCGATATCGAGCTTGGTACTGTGAAGTATCGAACTCAGTACTTCATAGTACCGAGTTCAGTAATACTTCAAGACTATGAAGTACCGAATGGTAAGCTGAATCCAGTGTCCGGATAATTCCCCCAATTCGACAAAGCAAAGACAGGAGAATGCCAACCCTCTTCTCAAACTTCATTAATATATAAATATAGTTACCGTTACTCTAATTGTTGAAGAAAATCTTAATTATCAGCGCAGGATAGTTTTTAACCAAAAAAAGAAAAACAGATAGGATACTGAAGGCCTGAACAGAGAGTGAGGGTGTGGGGCGGCTGTTCTTCTATTTGGTGATCAATCAGCGTCCATCTCTTCCAGCGCGGCCACGGCAGCGGCTTTGGCTTCCTCAAGAAGATGCTCCGGCACCTATAATTGCAACATATTTTTAGGTAAAAGAAACAAAGAATTCACTACAGTCGATCAGTACTTATTCCAGCATATTATGACTTTGTTTGGGGTAGCTTTTTTAAAATAGTTTTTTAATACAAAAAGTTTTTAGTTCAAGAAATTATTGTGCTAGAAAGCTGCTTTAGAAAACAGTAGTCTGTAGTCATTTGGGGCGGCTTTCTTCATGTTTTTTAAAATAGTTTTTTAGTACAAAAGTTTTTAGTTCAAAAAATTGTTGTACTAGAAAGCTGCTTTAGAAAATGATAGTCATTTGGGGCGGCTTTCTTAATGCTTTCTAAAATAGCTTTTTAGCACAAGTTTTTAGTTCAAGAAATTGTTGTACTAACAAATTGTTTTAGAAAACAGTAAAAAAAATCGTCCCAAAGAAAGCCTAAGTAAACTGCATTTCGTATGTTCAAAGAAATGCTTCATCTCTTGTGACTGATGTTCATTAACAAAGTAAGAATATTACCTTTTGATGCTGCTTATTTGATTCATCACAAACCCAGCTCAGTTCCAGTTCAAATGCTTTATCCTTGGCCTCGTCATGGACGCCATAGATTCTGAATGTTGCATAAAGTAAAACAAAAAGAAATTGCGTAATAAATCCAAGAAGTTAAATTACAAATTGACAGCAAATATTTCAAGTAAGATGGATAGAACTATTTATTTTTCATATTTCTGAGTTTGAATGAAAAATCCGCAGGCCCTCATAATGATTCAAAACAGTCATTTGAAGTGAAAAAATGGCCCTTATCAGGACTAAAAAACTTTGTATAAGTTTTGGTTTCGTTTGGGACAACTTTCTTACGCTTCTTAAAGAAGTTTTTAATTACAAAATTTTAATTTTTCCATTAAAAAACTAGTTTAAGAAGCAGTAAGAAAACCGTCCCAAACGAAACCTTAACCAGATAAACAGATTACTTATTTTCATGATTTTATTATGTTATAATTTTGTTTCTATTTTATTTAATTTAGATACATTATTTATGAGATATAGGTGTTTTAAACATTTCATAAACGACTTTATTCCATAAATAGGATGGTTATCAGTTTTTGATGTTTCTTGAATGATAAGGACTGATCCCATCGACAAATTGGCTACTCTTCATTTTCTAGAATTAAGTGAATTACTCACATCTTGGCAACTTCAATGATCCCTTGCCTGCATGTTAGTTCAGAAAGCTTCAATTTCTCAATTTCTCTGTGAAAAACCAGAAAGATGGTAAGAGCAGGAACAAATAGATATGATCACCTGCATGCGATGACTTAAATGGAAAACGAGCAAAGAAACCATCTAGCATATGGTGTATGTCAGAAACTGGCATGAAATAAATACCAAACTATATAAGAATTACTCACATGAGGATTTAGTGGATAAAGCTGTTCTAAGTAAATGCAATGTCCATGGTTTCGTCTATACAAGACTAAACCTTCTAATGGGTTCATTGAAAACAGGATTTAAAAAAAAAAAAAACAGTTTTCCTTTTCTCTCGCGGCTTTGGCTCCTACAGATTTGTCAGTATGATTAATACTAGCAATTAGTTTAAGTTTAGGCATAACATAAAAAATTAGTTAAAATTTATTTGGGAAGGCTTTCTCATTAATTTCTAAAATAATTTTTTAGTACAAAAAATTCTAATTCAAAAATTTTTTAAACTAAAACGCTGCTTTAGAAAGTATTAAGAAAGTTGTCCCAAACGAACTCTTAACATACATTAACAACAATTCAAAAAACTAAAAAGAATATATAAAGCATAGGACAAGTTAGCACACTAAGAAACATATAAACAAATCTCATGGTGCAAAAATACATGTTTTTTCTCAGGATCTTTATGATGAGTATTTATTAAACTTTCCTTGAGTAATGTTCTTCATGCCAAGTTTCCAAACCCACTTTTCAGCAAATTTAATCGATTTCAATTGCTTAAATCCACATCCTCGATGAAATACAAGTACTACAAAAAATGTTGTTTGAAGCTTATAGTTAGTTAATCTTTTGACTAATAATCTATTCATACTCCTATAATTTAGGCTTCGTTTGGGACGACTTTTTTACTACTTATGAATTTTTATATTAAAAAACTGATTTAAGAAGCAATAAAAAACCTGTCTCAAACAAAACCTTACAAGTAATTTTAAGTCAATATTCTTGCAACATTTTGATAAATAACCTATGCACGCCAATATATTTTTGTAAGAAACAAACCAAGAATCATAAAAAATGAAAATATAACCAATTTTGTCAGCTATGACATAACAAAGCCAAACATATAGATATAGATGCTATGGACACTTAAAAGAAGACACAAATCTCCTCACAAAATAAAAAATGCATATAACAACCATATGTGGGACACTTACTAACCTGAAATTAGATAAGCTTAAGAAGATAACAACAAACTTACGTTTTGGCAGCCTGCTTACCCTTCCCAATTGCAGCACCAAAATATCTCTGCACATTGTAAAGGTATAATGCGTAAATTGCACGCTATACTTAAAATTACAAGTAACTTAAAAGCCACCTTGCTTGCTGTTAGATCGGTTCAACTGACCCTGGGCAAGGGGCCAGTTCACACCTATAAGAGACGGACTAAGGCAGGTCCGCCTCTTTTCAATTAGCCGCCAATACGCAGGTGGGGCCCATAGGGATTAAGGAGCCATTAAGAGGAGGGGCGGCGGCTAGGGTTAGAGGAGGATTGCTTTAAATAAGAAGAGATTAGGACATGCATGCTTATTGTTTCTCTTGAAGTTCTCTTTGTGGTTTTGGGCTCTAGATTCATCGTCTAGAGATTGGAAGAGAACGATCTTCCTCTCCAATTGAGGATCAATTGTATCTTTGCTTGTTTTTGCTTTTGGTTTGATTCCTATTATACAATCTATTGTTTTTGGATTGTTTTCATTGGAGATCTTGAGGTTTTCTCGCTGTTTTCACCAATTATTATTAGGGTTGCTTGCAAACTCAAGTCCCATTAGGGTTACTTGGGAACTAAAGTATTTCCTATCACTCGCAAAAAGAGCTAAATTCAACGAATTAACCAAAATATTTCGTAACGAATATTGGAATAAACTCACATATGAAACCCCCGATGGTTCGACCATATATAGCTGGGGTCCATCTCTATCATATCCGCAGAGAATTACACCACAACCAAATGGTCTGAAACAACATAACACACACTTCAATTCTTCCAAGCAAATCAAATCAAATCAATCAATGTATCTGAAATAAAATTAGTACCTCAGCCACCAATAAAGTGTGCAAAGATGAACATAGCTGGCAACACGATCAGCAAGTTCTTTCACAGGAATAGGTTCACCATATATTCTGTTCATGAAATACATTCAGGCAGTTTTTGTTATACTCAGAAAGGGCACAAATAGTTGTACTAATCATTCAAGATAGATAAGGTAAAATCTATGATGATAAAATGAAGATACAAACCGTTCATAGTTTGTTGCTTCAGACTTTGCTCTGGCAATTATTTGTCTAGCATCTGCTACGAATCCAGCAAATGCCTGAAATTTAAGTTCATAGCCAAATATGAAACCATAACTTAAGTTAAAAATGCATGTATAGAAACTAAGGCTTCGTTTGGGACGGCTTTCTTACTGCTTCTTAAAGCAACTTTCTAATATAACCAATTTAATTTTTGTACTAGAAAGCTACTTTAAGAAGCAGTAAAAAAAATGTTCCAAACAAAACCTCAATGGTTGTAAGTTAAATAGTTTATTAGCTGGTAGGAAATATTGATGGCGTGTGCTGGAAAAATAGGTTTCTTCGTTTTTAAAGCAAAGAATGAACAATAATATTCTATTAGAATTCAAGTTATAACTTCTATAGTATATCAAAAATATTTTCCAATGGCAATGTTAACAGGTCAGGAGTTGATAAAAAACCTTTAATCAAGAATCAAAAACTATCCAGTTCAAGTAGGGTTGTCAATTTGGGTCGACGAGTCGGGTTCGGGTCGAACCCGAGTTGACCCAGATCTAAATGGGTCAACCCGAATCCGACCCATTTTTGCAAACGGGTCGGACATTTCAACCCGGACCTGACCCGCGCGGGTTGCCGAGTTGACCCGACCCAACCCGGATTTAGTAGATTTGGCTAAAGCAGCGCAAGGCCATGAGCTGACGCCAACCACATTCCATGCATATACTGCAAATTAAAATTAACAACCAAGACCATCAAGGGGATCTTCTAACCTTCAATATGACTTCTAGTCACCAACTCAGCGCAACCTTAGTTGAAATAAAGTATGGAACTAAAGTATGCTAAAGGCGATTAGCATACACATATATCATTTGCTAAATTCCTATTGCATCAAGAAGTTCAAAATTGATGATCTGAACTATAAGAACACTACTGGCTATCAAATTAAATTGATCCATAAAACAACAAATCAAAAGAAAGAATTCAATAATTGGATCAGCTAAACTGTGTATTTCCTTTATTTTTATCCAAGGGTCCGGAAGTTTATAATTTGCAATTTTCGATTCGCATTTGAGGGCAGAAGGAAAACTGTGGAAAGATTAATCACAAAACAACCAAGAAAACCAAATTTCAAGACAAATATCAAAGATTTCAGACGACACAGCTAGAAGAGAAGTAAGATGATGATCTTCTATATAATTTGATGAACTATAAGAAAGTATATATTAAAATGAAATGTAACAAGCATAAAGGCAAGAAATAAATCAAAAGACAAATGATTTTAGGGAAAATAATTCAAGGCTGTGAGCAAAAGTGAAGAACATAAACTAACTACAATAAAGAAGTAGAAGAGAAACAGGGAAGAAGAAAAACAGATTACTCCATGTTCTTTGTTGGTCAAAATCTCAGCCCTTTATAAAGTTTACCTTTAAATCTATATGTTATCGTCTTAGCGCATAATAACCCTAAGAAATTTTTTTAATTTAACCTTTTAACATTAACTCTAAAAGTTATATCATTATTTACATTATTTTTTATAATAGATATAAGATACTCAAGGCTATCATAACTAACTATCAACTTATCTTATAATAATTTTGAATGATAATTGACAGTATCACACTACTAAAACAATATATTATGTACTCAATCATTATCCCACTAATTCTAAGTCATTTACTTTCGAAATATTTCTCCATTGTTCTAACTTTTTTATTTATTTCAGTGGATGTCTTGCAAAATTATAATATATTATTAAAAAAAACTCACACCAATACTCACTTTGATTATCCTTTGCAAGTATCTATGAAAAAAGAAAGAGATTTATTCACTCGATTAAACTGCAAATCCTAAATGGTTAGTCTCAACTACTAAGATTTTGGTGCCATAGAAAAAAAAAAAAACAGAAGATTTGGAGCATAATTTATGCAGAAAAAAAACTGCAGAAATCTACGGGACCCAAAAAAAAAAAAGATTCGAGATGGTTACCATGCCAGAATGCCGGTGAACAGAGTGGATCCTCCGATTTGATCCCCCCAACATCATCTTCGAATTAATCAGCTTCTCCACGCCCTAAAACCCACCAATCAAAGAGTACAATCACAAAAATAAGCAGCGAAATGCACAATACGGAGCAGAAAAATAACCTCAGATCACAAATTTCTCACCATTACAATACCATCCTTACACTTGATAGCGATAACAGTCCTGACAGAAAATAAGAACTATAAGCAAACAATAAACAAGTTTATCTTAACAATCCGCCAGCCATTAAGAGAAGTGCGAGCGCAGTAGAGCAAAGACGAAAACTTTTACCCACTCTGGTCAACAGCTTTGGCAGCGTACTCGATCTGAAAAACCCTACCGTCGGGGGAGAAAGTGGTGACGGAAAGATCATACCCCGTGCCTATGCTGCTCATCGTTCTCCAACAAATGCCAATCCAAAGCTGCCTTCTTGGCTTGCTCCGACTCGAATATACGAAGACGATACGAAGCTGTGAAGAGAGTAACCAGTAGGTGGGTTTCTTGCATCACAAGTACTGAAATATCAGAGGAACTTTATATTTTATTTTCATATTAACAATTAGAATTTCATATTTAGTCTCATAATATTAATTCTTTTAAAAAACATCACAAAAATAACATTTTGCTCAACTTCTATTACACACTAGCTATCTTTCTCTTTCAACAAACAAATATTTTGTGCGGTCACCGAATAGTGTCCAGATGCGAATGAGAGCACGTCAAGACATTTTTTGTTGTGTATTATTGCTGTATATTGCTTAATACCGGGTGATTCACCTTTAAACCGTTCGATGACCTCACAAAATAATTTCTCACACATTCAATCTGACTTAAATCTCACATAGGATTTATCTGTGACGACTATAATATTTTATAAAGTTTGTTATAGAATTATCAACCAAGAGATATTATATTCGAGTCTAATGTATGTATTTTATATGTGTGAATTTATCTTAATTGATCTAAATGTCCCAAAAATAGTTGATGTGAGATAAATAACTTAATAATTATGATTGTAAAAAATAGTTTTTTATTATAAAAAATTTTAAAAAAACTGAACAAATAACAAGAAAATAATTGTCAAATAAAATTATGACTGTTGTATGAAAAATAAAGTAGCTAAAGCTATTAAAAAAAAGACCCTTAATCATATTTATTTCTCAAAAATACAATCAATTCCATTTATGTATTTTTGCAATGATATGTTATCGTAAGTTCATCACATCTTCTTCATTTTTGAGGCTTTTAAGATTTTGGGTGGAGATTTTCGTGATATATTGTTGGAAGAGATATCATAACATAGTGTTAATTTTGTAAATAAGAAATGATAAGTTTTGAAAATATGAATTGTTCTAAGTTAAATCTCACATAGGTCCCACATATTTTTTAAAAAGAATTTATATGCATATCATGTATTTTTTATATATTTATAAAATTAATATTTATTTTAAAAGTAATTTAATGTTTAAATAATTATATTTATTTTTATATAATTTTAATATTTAAATCAAATTTTTTTACGAGACTTATTAGTTAATTACGTCTTGTCCCCGCCTTCGCCTCCTTCCCGTCTCCACCTTGCAGCAGAAGCTAGGGATTCAATATCACTGAAAGCCATGGCAAGTTCAAGCTCTGCGGCTCGCATCGATCCCGAGCTCGTCATCTCCCACAAATTCCTCGAAGTATTCTCTCTTTTACCCCTTACTACTTCACCATAGGTTCTAAAGAACACGATGGTTAAATAACTTTATTTTTTTCTGCAGGAGAGTTTCTCGTACAGTGAAAGGTCAGTACTGGTCAGCGATCGTGTTTCCTCCATTTGTTTTGCATAATTTTTTATTTGTTTGTGGGGGTTTGTGGGAATTTGGGACAGAGATGCTGCGATTTATGCTCTAGGCGTTGGAGCTTGTGCAGGGGATGCGGTTGACGAGAAAGAGCTCAAGTACGTTTACCATCGGGATGGTCAGCGATCCATTGAAGTACGGATCCTTCATTTTTCCTAACTGTATGATCATGAGCTGTTTAATATGTTGGTTTGGGGAAGAAAGAGTGATACCATGGGGAAGATTTTACATAGTTGAATTATTATTTAAGATCTGCCAATTCATTTTGTTGATATACCGGCAGTTATTGATACAGTTTGTGGTTGCTTAAGTGATTATATTATTCTTTTTGTTTCTTTGATACACAATTCTTCCCTTTTGATCAGTTTTGGCCATTTTGGAGAAGTTGCAAATAATCCTAGATTTGATGTTGACCTTCATTTCTAATTTGTATAGTTGTAGCAACTCGAATCATATAGTGTCATTGGAACTGCAGCTAATACTGTTTATCATAATCGCACAAAAACTTATTGAGTTTGGCTTTTACAAACTTCGGTAAGCTTTTGTATTATTTCTCTTCGGGACATATTGAGGATATTTTTATGAAAACCATGACACGAGAGCTACAATAATTTATTGTGGAGAAATTGATACTTCTTGAAAACTCGATATCAATGAGGGAAGAAATTGATACTTCTTGTTGTTTTTGGTACTGTAGCTGGAGTTGGTCTGTTTTGCAGCTGAGACTACTTGTTTCTCCTAGAAGTCAGAATTTATTGAGTTAATGAATGTCGTCTGAGCCCAATTCTTGGATTCTGAAAAAATATCAATTTTAGGTCTATTATGATCATTAATAGGACTCTTGGGCATGTAAAATTTCAGTTTATTACAAGATGAAATTTCAAATTTCGCTCAAATTTGTGTGCTGGATGGATGCAAATTATTTGAGTGCAGATGTGAAGTCCAAGTTGTAACTACAATTTTTTTAGGGAGGCCTAGATTTTTATTTGGTGTTTTTTATTTTTGCTCTTTTCATCTACTTATGTTTTTTATTTGGTGTTTTTTTTATCTTTGTTTTTTTCATCTACTTATGTTGGTTTGCACATATGATTTAGATTTAGTCAAGTATGCTATAATCTTAGTTTTCTTATTGCATTGTGAATCTTAATCATTGTATAGTTTTATGAACATTCATTAAATTATCATTTGCAATGGTATTTAAATATTTGCTGAGTTCCATTAAAATAGGGTTATAGCTACCATTCTTGGTGGATCTGGAAAAGATGTATCTTGGTGAGCTTGCCTCAAATGACTTTAATCTAGATAGGTGAACTCGGCCTCTACATAAAAGGCTTTAGTTGTTGAAGTGGTGATTGTCATTCGTCAGGGTCTAACGGAAGAATTGCACTTAACCCTAATTATCTCATCATCAAAACTTATACATATTAGAACCGCTAAATATTCAAAATCTTATAAATTAGGATATAATTAACATTCATATTACATTCCAAAAGAATTGTATATATTTATCCAGCACATTTCAGCAAGCTCAAAACATATAGGATTTAGGCTACGTAACTCCTATTTGAGAAATCAAAGCCCAAATTTGTAGTAATATACGTACGCAAAAAAAAAAAAAAAATACGAAAAAAAAAAAAAAAAAAAAAAGGTTCCATAGTTTAATCAGGTAACATTTATGGGTATAAGAGGGAAACTTTAATGATTATAAGATAGTAACATAAACTTGCACTTATACAGTTAACTTTATCAGAAGGATAACACACACATTACCTGAATTTGAATATATTTATCAAGTACATCAACTAGAATATCTCTTGAACTTAAACATTACTTAATCTTGAAAATTTACTTCAGAAACATTAATTTGAATGTGACTTGAAATTGAACATGAGTATCAATATACATTACTTGATTAACTTATATTGCAATGTATGAAACATGATATGCACATGTCTTGATGCATGCTTATAACTTCAATTTCACTTATACCTCTACTCAGCCTCTTATCCATACAGGACAAATGGAGAAATGTCTTATTCTCTTTATGACTCCACTTCCCCTTAACCGCCCTTGATCATCTACATTTGTACAAGATAGACATAGGAAACATAAATATGTACATATAAGAGACCTTGTAAATTAACTTGTTGTGCATTTGAACATCTCGCACATTCATCATGTCCGCCATGTGAACATGCAACGCATCATATGAACATAACATTAATATTTTTAACATGTATAAATGACATATAATATAATACATGAATGCGTAAAGTGATATATGTATGATAATTTTAGTAGTATACGTGGGATAAAATATATACACATCCAACATTCACGGAGAATGTTCATAATATCATTTTGGGTCTTTTATTGTTCAACAACATTTTCTTTTAAATTCAACATCAATAGTAAAATATGCGAAAATTCACACATTCAAAACCAACTGATGAAAATCCTATTTTTGTCAGTCAAAATGCTCAGCATTACTCATTCTATGACATATCAAAATTTACATAATATAAAGTTTATCAAATTTCACAAAATCATTTAAATCCTAAAAATACCAGCATAAAAGTCAAAATTGAAATTAGAAACAAGGTATTGAGAGTCTATCTTGATATGAGCAATTCTTTTAACTGGGCTGATTGATGAATCCAGCTCTGTGGCCACCAAACCCTAACTTTTTCTCTCTCTCTCTCTCTTCTTTCTTTCTCTTCTCCTCCTCCATCCTCTTTCTCAATCTTTCTGGTGAATGGGGTGGAAATGGTGCAACAACTAATACTTTTAGATATTTATATAAAAATATAAATTTTTTACCCAATGTCACAATGCTCTATCTAAATACTATATATGCTTCAGACAAAGAGCTCGATGCTGCATCCTCCTTCTCTAGTGTCGCTACGCTCCCAAACAGAGAGGACAATGCTGCTATGTAAAATGTCGCAGCCCTCCAAAGGAACATTTTTACTACCCTTTCTACTCCAGTCTCAGGCATTCTAGACTTAAATAAACATTAAAAAACTTAAATTTCACAAACATTTATGAGGGCAAATATAAAATTCTCACCGGGTTGGTTTGGATCACTTTTGGTGGACTTATTCCTATAGTAGTGGTTGTTACAGTGCCTATCACGTTCACTAAGATAGACTGACCATTGAATGGAAATCCTTATAATGATGCAATTATTTTTATGATGTTGATCACGAATTATCAAATCGTAAGTATTTTGATCAATACGGAGAGCTTGAGCAACATTATTTTTAAATGCATAATTGAAAAGATGAATATGAATGCTTCTCGCTTGACGCAAAATACATGTCTTCTCTTGTATTTTTAGGAGAATAGAGAGAAACTAAGGGAATTATTGCTTTGTCGATCACTAGGGGAGAAGGCGAAAGATAATTCATTGCAATGAACGACTTTATCATAATTGACACTCTGACAACTTATGTTGCTATATTCGACCGATCTCTTCTATATACTTTTAGAATCATAGTCTTCACTTGTTATGTCGTTGTGAAGTTTTCGATTGGTAGCCTAGTAATGATAGTGTGAGGAGACTTGTTACAGTCAAGGGCATGTTATCCAACAACTGTGGGGGTTGTTCCGGAGGAAGTTCTTCAACTCGAGGCTTTGAGAGGATCTAAACTTCAGACATTTGATGTAGAAGTGCCAATTTGTTTAGATTAAATTTGAATTTTTTGCTCAGCTCTTCTTTTGATGAAGCACACAAGGACGAGTTGATTAGAACTCTTTAAGAGAACATTGAAGCCTTTGCTTGGTCGACAACTAAGAGGCCTGGTGTCGACATCAATCTCACTTGACATAAGCTAAATGCTAACAAGAACATTAGACCGATTAAACAAAAAATTATGCTAGTCACTGCAATGTTAGCTAAACCTACTTGTTGTGAAGTTTAAAAGCTTTTGGAGACGGAATTCATAAAAGAAGCTTATGTTAGACCGATACATTGGACTGGTCCAGCCGGTCCCATATGGACCAGATCACGCGAAACAGGCAGACATTTTCCGCCTGTTTGTGCTATCGACCGAACCGCAAATCTCATGGAGCAATTTAGGAAGGATTTTTGAGGGAGTTAGGAGGGAAATTTGAATGTAGGGATTGTTTAGAGAGTTCCTTCTGAATTGTATGTATTAAATATTTTGTTTTCCTAGGATTAGGGCATCTTGAATTGTTGCTTCAAGTAATGAGGTCTCATTACACCCATCATCACAAGCCATCAATATATACTTCATTGTTCGTCCCCTAATATTCCTTGGAAAGATAAGCCATCATTCTCTAATGAGTTGCATCTGTATTTTTTAAATAAAAAAACATAAAGTATTACAACAATATAAACCATCAGTAGTGATGAGTTCCATCTTCTCACCATTTGCATGGTCCATTTTGATTTGATGGTAGCAAGATTATGTATAGAGAAAATGATGAAAAGAAAGTCGTCTGCTTAGTGGACGAGCACCAATTCTCTGAAGAGGATAGCTATCTTTGGGGCACGCCGAGTTCAAACTTGTGAACACAATGAACATTCTCTACTTGTCGTTTGATTTTTAGACCATCATCACATTGAGCATTCCCATTTGAATGTTTTCTGATTAAAATGATGAATTTTGCCTAAATTACAAGTTGGTGGAGCGTGAATTTGATTATTTTTGTTTGTTTTTGACATCCCATGTTAAATTTTCATTACGAAAATTATATGCCTTAGGATGCTTGCATCAAAGGGGAAGAGTTGCAATGGTTGGGAAGAGGAGGGGAATAACTGTGAAATTATAAGGAACAAAGATCAACTGTCTCGCCGCCCAAATTTCTCACGCTCTCACACTAACAGGCAAGTATGACAACCCGAAGACCCATCAAGGGCTGGACACAATTCTTAAGGGGGAAACTTGCAATCATCAATTCATCAAGTCATAAAATAGATACAAGGGCTAGTTATATGACTAGAATGGCTTGAACAATGAGATAATATCCCTGACATTTATTTGAAATAAAACAATAAATCTAATTCAAATTATTGAAGAAATAAACTTTTTAAACTAAAAACTATTAACATCTTTTCTACTCTTGTATTTGATCGGACATTGATTTTTACGATGATGGCTTAATGGTCTCTCATGATGTGTTGCTTCATTAAGTTAAAGGATTTGATGTTAATTTCCACGCATCTTCATAATCCTTTAATTTATAAATTGGTGCATTTATGGATGCTTAGGCTTTTGTAACAGCTCAAGAGTTCCAAACCTATAGTATGTTCTAGGTGAACTGTTGAAAGTTTAATGTAGATTTTTCTTGCAGTGACTGGATAAAAGTAGAGAATATATAGCCAACTAATATACTTATCCATTGTCTTCTTTATTCCCTTTCATCGAAGTTTGTTTTCTTATTCCAACACTTATCAACTAAGTTCATGTTTCATCGAGCCCCTTCTATGTTATGGATCTTCATTGCAATTGTACTTTGTGGTATCTGAAGCCAACCCTAATTGTAGAATGTGTTATTCATTCTGATGATGACTTGAAAGCTTTATGGTACTGTAAATATCTGATGCTTTGTTTGATAACATGTTTGTGCAGGTTTTGCCTACTTTTGCTGCTTTGTTTCCATTTAAAAACAATAAAGGTTTCATTCTTGCAGATGTGCCTGGTTTGGAGTAAGCACATTCCATTTTGCAACAACTTCTATACAATATATATTCCTCCAAGTTCATCTAACATAATCCAAGCTTTTAAAATTTTTACTTGTCTATTTTAATCTTTTTGTTTTACTTTCCAGAACATTTACTGTTATCGGTCTCTTTCTAGGTTTGACCCCAAGCTACTATTGCATGGCCAGCAATACATAGAAATCTACAAGCCTTTTCCTTCTAGTTGCTCTGTAAGAATTCTAACCTTCTATATTTTTCCTGTTTAGGGAAAAGCATCATAGTTGATCGAGGCCATCTTCAGTTTTTGTTTTCTTTTATCATATTATTTTTTTAAAGGCATTCGTTAGCTGTTATTGCTTGGTTCATATGGTTCTTTTTCTGTTTATTTCATAAATTAATATTCTATATGTTGTTTTCAGAAGAAAACAAGAAAATTTTTATAATTTTTAAATTCCTACTTATGATTAACTTGCTTTTTGAAGATCCCCCTACACCTATCATTTTGTGTAACATATACTAGCATGCTTTGTTTTACTTTATACGTGAATCTCATATGGTTGTTTCTCACTATCCATTTCTTCTTTTACCCCCCTTTCCCCTTGGCTAGCATTTTTTTTTTTCTGTTTTGTGTTTGAGTCTTACGAACAATTATTACGTCCTCCGACCGGATGCAGAGAAACATCCGGTCGTAGGCAAAATCCCGCTATACCGAGGTGTACCAAGTTTTTTTCGAAAAACTCGGTACACCTCGGTACAGCGGGATTTTGCCTGCGACCGAATGTTTCTCTCATTCGGTCGACCGGACCAAATAAAACTTCGAGTCTTACGGTTTCTCATGTTTTTTTTGGTGTAGTTTGCCGATCAGTAAATCCCACCAGCACTCAAAATTCATTTAGCAAGGCCATTGTTATCTTTAAGAAAAAACCCAGCTTTGATGATTCTTTTCTTTACTGATATTGAGTACTGCTCTGACTACGTCATTAATTTTCATGGAATATTTATAAGTTGCTTCTCTTTATCCAGGTTAAGAATAAAGTAACCGTTGCTGGCTTGCATGACAAAGGTGTGTATGCGACTTTGCTTCTTCAAATTGGTTAAGATCTACTGGCAACATTTTTCAAACCTTATGTTCTTGTATCAAACAATGGCATTTTTTAATTAGCATTTAAAAGAAAAGAGTGTTGAAAAGGTCGAAATGAGACTTCATTAAGGTGCATATGTAGTAAAACTAAGATGAATAGATGGAAAAATTATTATATTAAAGACTGGGAGTAACACTTATTAAAGATAAAGTAAGGAAAATTGACTTAGTTGTTTTGGGCATGATAGAGGGCAGAATGCACTAATAAGGTGCATGGACAAAATGAATATAGAAAAACTTGGAAGAAAAAAAAAGGCAGATCCAATAAGTTTTAAGTACTAAGATCAATGTGATATCAAGGATTCCTTTTTGCTTCAATCCGTCTTGCGCAAAGCAAAACAACACTTTTATTAACTATGGTGCTCATTAATTGTATATTATGTGTATACAATAACCATTTCATTAATTAAATTTAAATAAACATCAGCTAATAATTTTAACAAAATGAATGATAGTTTCAATAATAATAGTTAAAATGTAAAGTGTCCACACACCACGAGGTTCTCCTTCAGTGTACGACTTATATAATATGAGAGAATGGAATGGTGCATGAGGAATCCAAGTTGTGTGGAATTGCATGGACAAGATTTTGGTCATTTTATTTTACATTTAAAGATTTAGTTTATGAAGAGTAGCGAATACGGAATAGTGGACTATAAATGCATAAATGTGTATCTTAATTAATATGAAGGAATCTAAAAAGTATTAGATAATTTAAATATTTCTTCATTTATTTAGAAGAATAAAAAACCGAATACAAAATGGATATTTAATTGAAAGGAAGACTAACGAAGGATTAAGAATTTAATAAGATTTTTTATTATTTATTTAAATGAAAATATTGCTTAATGAAAAATGATAATAAAGTATTATTTTTTTAAATATTTGATGAATACAAATGATAAATAAAGATAAGGATTCTATTTGAATAATAAAAATGAAAGCTAAGATTTTTGTTCTAACAGTAAAACTCCAATGGCTTTTTAATAAAAAAGTAAGTAATGATGTAAAGATTTTTTTTAAAAAAAACAATCCTCTAAAACTTATACTTTAATGTTATTAATTATTAAATTATATTGAATGAATATTAATTAATCGAATATATTATTAATCTGCTATGATAGATATAAATTAAAAATATAATGCAAATAAATATATTATAATTAATATTTAATATAGAAATAAATTACAAATTTAAAATCTTTAACATTCCCTAACTATTAGCTAAAAAATCATTCTAACCATTAGCTTTTACTAAATGAATTAAAATACATTCATTTTAATGAAATAAATTAATTTAAAAACGTAAATTTAATGTGCAAATAAATGATGATTTTGATATTCATTTGTATTATATAAAATTGAAGGCTAAGTATAGCATAGATATTTATTTTTTTATTTAATATTTTTTGGACTGTTGTGATGAGCAGTGGATAAGTATTCGCAAGCCTGTGTTTACTATAAAGTCATTTTCATTTTATTCGTCATTAAAGAGAAATTAAAAAATATAAAGAGTTTTGAATAAGTAAAAAATAAATTTTATTGTAACAAATAATATTTTATGCTGAGTCAACCAGCAAGTTTAACAATCCTTTATTAATTTTTAAAATTTATTTTAAATAAAAACTATTAATTATATAAATTAAATTTAATTGTAAATCATACTATTTAAAAATTTATCCTTTCTCCCTTATATGTTTAAGCCTTTTCTTCCTCTTATTTCTATTTCTCGCCTTTTCTCTTTTTCTGTCTCTTTTTATCTGCCTTCTCCTCTTTTATCCTTTTTCTTTCTTTCTTCCTTTTTATTTCTCATTTTGTTTCTTATCTTTTTTTTCTCTTTCTTCTTCTTTTTTACTCTTCTTCTTTTTTTTTTTTTTTTCTTCTTGCTTTTTTTTCTTGCTACTTTTTACTCTTTTTTTCCTCTTGTCTCTTATTTTTTCTCTTTCTTCTCTTATCCTATTCTCTTCTTCTTTTCTCTTTGATTCTTTTTTTTTTTTTTTTTCATCTTATTTCTCTATTACTTTTTTTCTGCCCTTTAATTGTCTCTTTATTCTTCTCTTTATCTTTACTTTTTCTCTTGTTTCCTCTCTCCCTAAATTTCTCCGCTATCGTCGCATCCTGAATCTTCTAAGAACACGTACGCGGTTCACGATCCGCTGCCTCAAAGTTCGCGCGAAAACATACATAGTCATTATGGATCGGAATTGCACATGTCTCGTGTTATTGCCGATCATTTTATTAGGCTACCGTGACGCTGCGGTAGGATTTCGTAAATTCCTCTAAATCCGGAATTTCGGAGTTCTGAGGAGGCCTAAATCCTATTCCAAATTTAGTGTGATTGTTTGGCTATAGAGCGGCATTTAACAAGCATTATTCTTCTCTCGATCCAATAGATTTGTAAATCGGGCTAATAAAATAGGATTTCAAAAATCCGGATTCAGCACAAAAGGCGCGAATTTTCGTCTACAATGACTTCCATTGCCATAGGCCGTTTGCTGGATTTTGCTCAAATCTATTCCTCAAATCCCGGCCTACATCCTGCTACCAAAATCAAATCAGCCCTTTGAATGTTTACAATAAAGCATGGACATATTAATGTCTACTAAAACCTATGTTTCTCCCCTATAATTGACAACATTCATATATCCTGAAGAAAATCTGGTTTATAGAGAAATAAAAAATCAGCTACTGTTATTTAGCATCTAATTTTGAGCCAAATAGAATTAGTAGAGCATTTTTTGCTTTGAATGCTGTTGATTCAAAAAACTCTACAATGAAAGCTTGATTTCTTGATAATCAAGCCTATTCTTTGCGATACGATCCAAACAGATAGTAAGCATAATGAATTATCATTTTCGTCACAGATGAGACGTTCCATCATCAAGGAGGCATTCACTTCTTGTCTCTAGATAAAGAACAAACTAACACAAAGACACATACGTTTGCTTGGTGAGTAGGATGCTTGATTCCCCTCTTCGAGCGGCAAGTGCTCTTAGTATGGTTATCCAATCAAATGCGTGGTGAAGCGAGGTTTGGGATTGAGTGCTTTGTATTTAGGTAGGGTTGCCAATATCTGACACGAACCCGAAACCAACCCGACCTTGAACCATACTGAAAATCCGGGTTCGGTCAACGCCGAACCCGTAAACGGTCGGTTCGGGTTCAACAAATCGACTCGTTCTAAAAAACGGTCGGATTTGGGTTGACCCAGTAACCCAAAATTGACAGTTTCTGACCGTTTTGACCAAAACCCCGAAGATTTGACATCCTTTCTTGACAACTGAAAATAAGATAGAATACCCTTGTTTTTTTTACCCGAAAAACTGCAATTTTTGTCCAAGTTCGGGTCATATTGGTTGGCGTGGTTTAACCCGAACCCAAAGCGGGTTCGGCTTCGAAGCAGAAATCGACACACGTACCGAAACAGGTGGTTCGGGTTGAGCCGATAATGCAGGTCAGATTTCGAGTTCGACCCGACTGCCGACCCAAATAACCGAAATTGAACCGCCTAGTTTTTAGGTCAGCCGATGATTAGTGCACTGCCAGCCTAACGCACCTTGTGGGGGTGGCAGTGTTGTGTATACCCCGTTCCGCAAAAAATAAATAAAACTAACTAAATGTCCTCTACAAAGGCTTGAGACAACTTCAATCCCCAATCTTATGAATCTATGTGCTGCTAATATGAGGGGGAGGTGCTATTGTTACCAAAAAGGATATTATGTCATAATTATTACTTATTTTTATACAAACAATATCTTAATTGAGAATAAAGCAATATTATTTTATTACAAATTATATTATTCTAACATTCTTAATAAACGACAGTAAGGATCAGTCTATAAACTGCAACATACGTCTACAATGAGGGAAGGAAATTGTTTTAGCATTACATAACCTGGATCTGAAAGACTGCTTAATTTTCTCTTCCCTTTGTTTGAGTGATATGACCCCTACAAAAAGTCAAAGTTCTATAGTAAAGAACTAAGAACAGTGTAGAGACGAGAATTTGCCTAATTAGATCAATATAGCCAAGAAAGGTTATTCTTTACTTTTGGGCCTTCTATCCACATCTTCTGTAATTAGAAGACCCCTGGGAACCATGGAGAGAGAAGCGACCGAAATTATGGCTCCTCACCTGCCGTCGGGCGCCATTGCAGATGGATTCTGATAATGGCTCTGACGGCAAAGCCAAGGGTGCATTAAACCATGAGTATCTGGTCGGTTAAACCTACATGCCAGGGTATAACAACGTCAACACCATCAGTGAATCAGATAAACTTTGGGATGGGCTTTTTACTGCTTCTTGAAGCAGAATTTTTAGTTATAATAATGTAATAAATTTTTGTACTAGAAAGCTGCTTCAGAGGGCAGGAAAAAAACTATCCCAAACGAAGCATTTGTTGATGTCTGATGGTCATTTGGATACAACTCAATGCATAAAAAAGGGATTTCTCAAATAGAAACTGAAAAAAAATCTCTGAAAGGTCCCTTTAGCATGGCCCAACAAACACAACAAGAGGCTGAGAGGCGGGAGAAAAAAAAAATTGTAGTAACTATGCTGTAAACTTATGCATAGACTCATTAGGCTTTCTTTGGGGCAACTTTTAATGCTTCTTAAGCAACTTTTTAATGACATGATTAAAAATTTTAAACTAAAAGCTGGTTTAGAAGCAGTAAGAAAGCGGTCCGCAAACAAAATCTTAAAGAATTGAAAAAGTTAAGTGAATGATTAACACAGATTTCAAGACCTTAGGGTGTGTGATTTTAAATTCAGCACTTTTTTTGAAGAGTTCATTTGATCTTTGATAACTCATCAGATATGAACAAAATATGGTCACATACCATAATCTTTCATTTTTTTTTTTTGGATGAAATTGGTGTAGAGAATGCTTTCCATGAGAGTATTTTATCACTGCTCCACCAGCCATTCTTGCAACCAACGGGATCAGAGTGCAGAGGATTGTAATCACCGAAAAGCCTATAGAGCAAAGCCTGCTGATTAAGAGCACTTGTCATCAATAGATGATAAGTGATTAGATTTAAAAAACATAGTTATAACCACTTTCCAAACAATTATTAAGGCAGTGATAACACTAAAAACACAGTAAAAAACAATCAAACTGCTAGTATTGATTACTAGGTGGGTAAACTGAGAGCCGAGCCAGCTGTTGAACATGTCTCGAACTCGACTCAATAACTTAGAGCTTGCAATTCAAGCTTTCAGAGCCTCGATCTTGAAGCTCGGAGCTTAACTCGAGCTCGTCCTGTTAAACGAGTTCGTAACTTGACGAGTGCTAACTCGCAAGCTCACAAATTGGCTCGAATTCCATGTACAGGATTATTTTTTTAATAATAAAGTAGAATTTACGCTAAAAGAATTTGAGGAAGTGCCGACAGATGCAGCGATGCTGAGATTGATGTGTCTGGTCTTTCATATTATTCGCAAATTGGTTCTTTTCTGGTGACCTGAAGAAGCGAGAACTTGACGACTGGCCAGGAAAGTTTGCATAACGAATATGGCTTTGAGGATCTTGAGAAAACCCACCAAACCACGCAGTAATGGTGCTTCTGCTTGGAAAGCGCTCTGTAACGGGGCATATACCATAATACAAACAAAAAAACTTCTGAACACAAAGGATATAAACTTTGAGCGGACCTGTTATACCTTGGCATAAGCTTCACCAGATTCTTCTATATAAGCCTCGTGGTTTCAATTTCAATAAATAGCTGCTTTGCCTGATTAAAAGAATGAATGCATTAATTCCCTTTACCGCTAACAAAAGCAACTGATTGAGTAAGAAATGAAAAAATGGAAAAGTCAAAAGCAAGCATTATAATCAGGATTAGAATTCTACAGTCTAGATGAGTATCAATAAAATGGTCACTTGGCTATACAGCAGACAAAATTTGAGTTACAATATTATATTAATCTTATCCCAACTATTTGTAGTCGGACCTTATGAATCCTCAAATTCTCTACAACTTCAAAGCTCAACTCCATAAGTCGTGATCGACCTACCTTCCCTCTCTGATGCGAAAATTGACCTCTCACAGCCCAATGAGGAGACGACTCCGAAGCTCTCCAAATAAACACAAAAATCAAAATAATAATGAAAATGCAATCTCTCCAAATTAAATAATTTTTAACATATTCTATAAGTTTAATTACATACCACGAGACATCATTAAGCAAAAGAATTTTCACATAATATATAATTCTCAATTTTTATGCTATGATTTTATCTTTCATTTTTTAAAATTGTGCAAATACATATTTTATGTATATTTTTATTTGTATTGCGTCAATTTTGCACTAAAAAATTAATGAGCAGTACTATAATTATATGTTCATGAAATTTTGAAGGTCCTACATTTTATATCAAATTGCGACACTACTTATATAACTTTGTTCGTTTCTATCGACCTTTATAAAATTGTTAGAATTTTAATTTGTAGGCTCACTTTGAATATCAATTCTTCAATTACAATATATTAATTTCATTTTATTTTATATCAAATTTTAAGCTATTTAATTATATATTTT